TTTTCGAAGACTTTGACAGAGGTACACAGTTACTGCTTAAGTCAAAATCTCTATTTTTATAACTTCAGTGAATTTTACTAAAGAATTACAACTCAGTGTTGTGCAGACACTCATGGACAGTGTGTTTGTTTTAAACAAGCTAGTTTATTCAGAGCTTTTGCATAGTGTAACACGTGTGAACAGTCAGATCTCTCAAGTGGGATTGTGAATCATTGTCTAGATGGTGGCAAGTGGCTAGAGGCTCTGTCCTTGCAGGGCATCATCAGCTAGATCAGGGGAGATTCTCCAAACTAAGACTCCCCAAATTGCATTCTCAGTTCTTACATACAGCTGGTCGGTGATCCTACATGACCACTCTTGCACGTGTGATCCATTCCTATGGTTTACCTTAAGCTACACACAAAACACTTCCTGCATTAACTGTGTACATAAGGCTGTCATACATGACCTTATCTGCATCTGCAGGAATAGTTTCTGTTGACTACTGGCAAGTATCTTATCCATGTACTGTTTGGTCATTTTTGCAGCAGATACTGTGTGGGGGAGCTGTTGGGTCAGCCAGAGACCCTACCCAGGATGGTAGTTAGCACCCTGAAGCGATGAACTGTGCCTCTCAGTTGTCATATGCACAGGAGGAGCCTGCTGGGGGAATCTCTGAGGCTGCCTGAAATTCCTGTATGGAGAGGTTCTACAGCGATTAGTCAAATGTGTTGTTCTGAAGTGAACAGTTCAGTCAGTTACCTTGTCTCAAGGCAATTGGTTGTATCATCTATGCACCAGTTGGCAGGGGGCAGGTCCTGGACCACCCAGCAAACTGATGGGTAAGCGCACTGGGTATGTGCAGAGGCAGTTACACCACAGTTACAATCACACCCCAACTACAGTACGAACTTAAGTTTCATCCTTATGTCTCATTTATAAATTAAATCGTATAGATTGTGTCACAGTATGCTCGTATGTGTACAATAGTTCTGAGTTGTTTTATTTTTTCAAACTGTCCATCTTTAACACTATAGTTAAAGCAAATTTAAACAACAATGACCAATAATGATGATTAGTTATATTGTAAGGAAATTTAGCTTTCAGCTCTGTTCTTTACGGGTACTTTATGCCATCTAAAAGCTATGGACATATGCTGATGGTCTCAGTCTACGTTTTAGCGAATAGAATTTGAACTGTTCAAATCACAGTAGATACTCTGCCACAACATAGTTATGCAAAAACCTAAGAGACTTACTGCCATAGTTGTGCTGTACTGGGTGGTGCTTGTGACTATACTTGCATGTTGGACCTGAATATTTCATAGTGCTTTGACCTTTACCTAATGTGTATGGGTACCTCTCAGAAGACTTTTTATCACTAAAATCAAATTAATTGAAAAGCCTTGCTTTATCCGGTTGTCTCCTCCACACTGATGTACAAGAAGACTATATTTGCCATTCCTCTGCCAAGAAGCCTGTAGGTGGACATTAGTGTCATATAAGTAATTGCTTTTTGTTTAAGGGAATCTTGCATTGCTAAAGTATTTGTTCATTTCATCCCCTCTGTCTTAGCCTTGTATGTGATGATGTGGCCCACTAGGTTATACTCTTTTCAGATAAGCTGCTGCTAAAAGAAGATAAAACAACGCTGCTTTTATAAAGCAAGAGCAGGTGATTGTATTTGAAGATGTTTTAGTGACAGTTATGTTTGTCTTCATGAGCTACTCATTAGCCAGCTGGGTTGACCTGGATAGGTTAGATGCAACACAATCCTCTCCTGTTACAAGTTCTGTTACTAAATCCCTCTGCACAGTAGCAAGGAAGGTTTCTCAGGTGGAGTGGGTTGCATGTTACTGAGAGTCAAACAACACCAAAATTGAGATGGAGAATTTTTGGATGTACCAGGTTGAGTATCGTAAGAAAAATGTAAGTAGATGTTCCAGAGGAGAAATGGCGTAACTAGTACTTTTTTATTGCTGCACTTAAGAAAACACTTTGTAATTCCATTGATGGACCTCTCTATGTATTAACAGTATGTTTCACGTGAAATTACTATGTTTGTTCTGATAGCATTTTTGTTAGGCTTCTAAAACTTGTTTTGTTAAGAGGCAACGAAGCAGTCACTAAGCATTTATTTTAGACTTCAGTTGTAATGTTTTGAGCAGCTATGCAAGTTGTCTGTCCACTATGATGTATCAAAATATTTCTTGTTATTGCTGTGACTGCATTCTTTCCTTGTGCATTGTGTATGGCACCTCTAAAAATGCATTTTGAGGTAGAAGAGAACCGAGTGTTTATTCTTCAAAGACTGAACTTTTTTATACAAATGTTTTTGGGGACAGCTGTCATGTCAGGTCATATAGCAAACTTTGTAGGATGTTTGGTAGTTTTGGGGTTGGATTTTTTTTCCCAGAAAAATTTGAGCAGACATTCAAAGAGAGCACATGGAAAGCCGTGTGATCATTTTGATGGTTGCTTCATTCTGATGCTTTGTAGATTAAAATAGCTGAGTAAAGGTATTTGTAGAGCTACTGGAGTAACTTAATACATATTAAATAGTGCAAAATTTCATGTCAGTGGCCAACTGGTTTAAATGGAATCATTTATTGTTATAGCTTTAGTGTGTGAATATGAGAGCTTTCAGGCATTTTAAAGAACTATTTTTTTTGTGGAACCATTTGATGCTAAAATATGACATGCTTTACTTTGTTTCTTTGTTTACTATTTAAAGCTCAATCCTACAATATCCCATTGTCATTATTAGGTTGATAGTATTGTGCGCCTTTTATATTTAATACCAATACAGAAATACTATGTAACTATTGGGAATGTGAGCACTGTAAGGATGCTTCCTTAAGTAAAGAGGAGTTGCCATTTGTGCAGTGAATCACGGTGGCACTGTAACTCTGGAAGTTACACAGCAAGTCAGGGGAGCCTGTATGTCTCGTACAGCCCCTGCGTGAAGACTGGCAGTGCAATGAGTGATCCTTCAGTCTGTCGGTGTAAGCACATGCAATCATTCTAGGGACCATTTCACAGCTGCATCTCTTTTTGACCTGCAGTTGTAATTCAAAATATAGGGAGATGCAGGGACTGCCAGGAGATATCTGTATAAGGAGTTGCTTCTTAACTCTTTGGAAGCCTTTATTAGTTAACTATAATTCTAATATTTAGTAATTATCCAAGATAGACCTTTTAAAGGAATGAGGGTAAAGAGAAAGAGGAGGAGAAGGGAGTTTTATTTTCTTGTTTTGTTCCATATCTGTGAAGCTAAGCTTGCAAAACTTAGATTTTTTGTGCACACTATTTCATAGAATTCAGTGTTTCAGCTGGAGTGGAGGCATAGCAGGAGGGCACTCCTAGATTGCAGCTGCTGCCAGCTCAGAGCGCTGGAAGTATAGCCCTTTTCTGGTATGACTCATTGGCTTAGAGAAAAGCCATGTCAAGTAATTGTTTATAAATCAGAAGAATAGTATTTGACTGTTTCGCTATCAGTGATGAACTGTTGAGCTGGCAAAGCTAGGGCTGAACTCCCTATGTCAAAGGAGAGTGTAGAATGCCAGGGCTGCTGGGCTAAACACCCAGCTTGCATAGCTAAATGCTAAACCTTCCTTTGAAGAATCACATTTTGGTATGCGCACTGACATGTTTTGCAGGTATCTCCTTAAGATCTGCCTTTAAAAATGCCTGTTGGGTTGAAGCTTTTTACTGTCTCTCATTTTGGTCACCTTCATTAATTCCACACTCTGTATTCTTGTGTTATACCCCCATACCAGTCCCCCCTGCTCTGGACTTTAGATACCTCGCTACAGCTTTTTAGTGTCACCAGCATTCATTAAGAATTGCCTGTGATGAGGATATCCTTTCTCAATGCATTCTTTCCCTTTACCAAGATACTTGCTGACAGATCATATAGATCTAGATTTTCCATCATACTGCTTTTCTATGCATTTCCCTTTGTTTTTCTGCTATTACATTCTTGATGATCATGACTGACTAGGACATGATTGGAAAGACAGTTTCTCCACTCAGTTCTTTATGGTGAGGGGAGAAGAATAAGGAAATTTGATCTAGTGAGCATTTATAGTACTGAGATAATAGCATAAACTGTGAAATATTTTCCAAGTTTGTGCTATATCTAGGATGAGGAATCATAGTCCTTGATTCCACTGGTATTGAATATCCTTCAGTATATTTGTAAGTCCTTGAATACATTAGTATTACTCTGTACAATTTATAGAAGTTGCTTTCTAAGATGATGGAATAACATTTATGGACAACCACTGCAGCCTACCTCTGCTCAGATTAGATTAGTTTAGCACTTCATGTTAATTATACCTGAGAGCACGTGTGCTTATGGGGAAATAGCAATCTTTTCTTCACTCTCCCGAGTCTGACAACGAAGTAATCTTTAGCTGAATCCCTGTGTTCTGGTCATGATCAATTCCCCTGGCTCCCATCGCAGCTTACTTCTCAGTGGATTTATCTTTTCTTTCTTAGAATGTCAGAGCTTAGGATGTCGGTCTGCATTGCCTGCAGCCTTCAGTAAGCTCACAGTCATGTGCCTGCATGCAATAGGCATGTACTTGTGCAACAGAAATTCCTGTAACTGCAGCTTAGTTGAATGCTGACAGTAAGTGTAAGTGGTTGGCCCAATACCAATATCAGACAATCCTCCATTCACCTTGCAAAAATACAGTTTTATTGACACTTTTTGGCTGAGCATTGCTTGCCACTGAGTACAGCTTTTTATTTTTCGAACTGTTTAATTTCATACATTACTGACAAATAAACACAAGTGTTTTTTAAAAGATTTAGCTGTTCAGAGTAAGTCCACTGAGATATTGATATGTGATTATTATGATAAAAAGCAAGAGTTACAACATTTTAAAAGTGTTGGTCTTGGTTTTTCCTCCCCCCCCCATCTTTTATTTCTACTGCCAAATTAGAGGAAAATATAAAAGAAGAATTTCTACATTAGCCACTCAGATTATTATTTAATTTTCTTGCCATGTCTAGTCTCCATCTCCAGATTCCTCTTCACCTCGGGGTGCTGAATCGGCAAGTAGGCAACATCACCAGGATGTCTGCAGTACAGCAGAGGCCTCCACTAATAAAGAGGTAGAGTGAAATCTTTTTAAAAGCCACAGTCTTGTTCATGCTGCTTATGCCTTATTTTCCTTGCCTTCTTGTACCTGTGCAATCCCTTCTCTTCTTCCAAAATTGCAACACGCTTGAAAAGCTGGTTTGTAGCTCCTTTCCTTTATGCTTGCCTGTCTGTCTGACTGAATTTCTAATATACTTAAGACTGTTTATCATGGCATTTCTGACTCTGTGTTCAGCTGCCACTAAATTTATTTAACAGGCTGGGAGGTATTGATTTACCAAACAGCCAACATCACTTCCGTATTAGAGGCAAAAGGAAGAAGCCCTTTTCTTTTTTTCTATGCAGAATGTCTTCCTGCAAAGAAAAGGATGTTTCTCAGCCAGATGAAAAAGCTTGTTAAAATGAAATTAATTAGGTAGTAATTTATGCTGCTTAATATTTTGTCATTGTACAAACTGACCTGCCAGTGATTCACAGTCAGAATTTAGTTCCTGACCCCAGGATCCTCAAAATAAAGCTAAATACTTAATTTTTTTTTTCCACTTTTATTTTTCTCAGCTGGCACCTTTTTACACTGCAGTAGTTCCACCAACACAAAATGAGAAGTGTGAGTAGAACTTCTCGCAGTGTGAAAAGAAAATCATTTGGCATAAAAAATATTTGGATTAGTATAGAATGGCTGTCTCTCTAAACAGAAAAATCTGCAAATATTTGGTTTATTTGCTTTTTGTTTTTTAAACTTAAAAAAAATCTGGAGACTGTAGTCTAACAAGGTACCATATTGTCACTGATAGCAATGCATGAGTTATCTTCCACAATGAAAAACACTGATCTACTATAACTGGAAATACTGATTAAAATTAAATACTAATTAGTAATCCATTCTTTCTTTTTTTCTTTTGTTATTATCAAGGGATAAAAGAGCTTGTAACATTTATGTATTGTGCCAGTCTGGTTTTGCATTTAGAAAATAATGAAAGGTTTCAAAAGACTTAAGAAACTCATAATTTCTTGTGTGCTAAAGCTGTCAACAATAGATTGTGCCATTAAATTTTCATCTGCTATTTCGTTAGCTTGTTAAAGCCTTTAGCTTTCTTCAGTACAGATTTTGTCAATTCATATATATCCTAGCTTTTAGCAGGTTTTAGATGTCGATAAACTTACCCAAAGAAAGAAACCAAACAAGATGCTGCTTATTTCAGTTTTTAGGATGTGCTTACACGTAGTGTCAGAGATGGTAAACCAGGTTTCACAGTAGGATGTGTCAGGCTGTTTGTTTCCCTCAGATGAGCAATAATGCTTGCTTTAGTGCTTCCAGTGCAAGAACAAGACTGATAAAGCAGCCTCATAATTTTTTTGAATGACTTTTAGGTCTTAGTAAAACCTTCTTTAAAATACAGATTTTTGTAATACTGGATGGCAACAAGATTAACAAGAGTAATGAAACATTAATGACCTTGATATTTCATTATTCATGGATAAGTAAAATGAAAACATGTAGGTTTCCTTCTATTGGTAACTTTACCTGTTATTTTACTATTCCTGTGGTCTCAGCAGAATGTCTTTCAACCTGAGTAATGAACAAAAAACCTTAATTTTGTGTGTGAATTTTTGCAATAAAAGCATATATGACAGTTTACACCACTCTGTCCTGAAAAGAAGTTGCATCGGCTAGTCAAGTTGCTGAATAGTTGCCAAACCTGTAATTACAGACTTTGTTCACTCTTTTTAAAAAAAAATAAAAGTACTTTGGACAGCGCATATATATGCCTGAGCTGTCTCTGGTGTGTAGGGAATTTGTTGTTTAGGCCTGTCAGAGTCCAGTGGTTGAAGCTCCCTCTTAGCCCTACACCAGCAGCAATTACAAACAATTGTTGAAGTCTGTATGGGTAGGGGGTCCAGTAAAAACATTCAGCTGAAGAGGTGAAAGAGCCACAGATCTGAAAAGGCATGTCAGCGTCCTCACAGCAGCTTAAATGCTTTGGCAGTGGGAGATCATTTTTTATTGACGCTTTATGTATGCTAGTACAATCTCTGATGGAGATCTTTCCTGATTTTGCAGTACAGCTTAGTCAATTTCATAGGGAACAGCAAGTACTTAAAGGCTGTGCAGGCTCTGCTGTCTGTGTCACCCACCTTTTGTTTTTGTTTCATGAGTTTTGTTTTACAGCAAGATGAGCATCATTGGTTAAAAAATATTACTTGTTACATCCATTTTCTATTTGTTACAATGGAAAAGACTCCTTGGGGTTAGTCACTTGACCTGTCACATAACTGTGACCTTCCTAGTTGTCGTGGTTTAACCCCAGCCAGCAACTAAGCACCACGCAGCCGCTCACTCACTCTCCCCCCACCCAGTGGGGTGGGGGAGAAAATCAGGAAAAAAGAAGTAAAACTCGTGGGTTGAGATAAGAACAGTTTAATAGAACAGAAAAGAAGAAACTAATAATGATAATAGTAACACTAATAAAATGACAATAGTAGTAATAAAAGGACTGGAATATGCAAGTGATGCGCAGGGCAATTGCTCACCACCCGCCGACCGACACCCAGTCAGTCCCCCAGCGGCGATTCCCCGCCCCCACTCCCCCCAGTTCCTATACTGGATGTGACATCACATGGTATGGAATCCCCCGCTGGCCAGTTTGGGTCAGGTGCCCTGGCTGTGTCCTGTGCCAACTTCTTGTGCCCCTCCAGCTTTCTCGCTGGCTGGGCATGAGAAGCTGAAAGATCCTTGACTTTAGACTAAACACTAGTGAGCAACAGCTGAAAACATCAGTGTTATCAACATTCTTCACATACTGAACTCAAAACATAGCACTGTACCAGCTACTAGGAAGACAGTTAACTCTATCCCAGCTGAAACCAGGACACTAGTTTATCTCGGTTTTTCCACTAATACACAGAACCTAGTAAGTTGCCCGTCATAAAGGAAAATAATTTGGAATATATTTCAATGTGTATTGTCTGGAAATATACTGGAAATTGTCTGAGAAATTATGCATTATTCTGATCATATATGGATTTTCTTTTAATAAAACTATATTAAGCAGTCATTGGAGGAGTTACTGCTAATGCAATCAGTTGTAGATTCATTAAAATTTTTTAATACTTGGACTATCCGAAATTCTTATCTGCAACACATATGATAGCAGGAGATATTTCAATATACCTATTACCACCTATATATTGCCACACAGAATTTTCTTTGGTAAATTCTCCTATGTCATTTACGTTCTTGATTATAACAAAATGGTGAGTCTTACTCACTGAAAGTTGTAGCTTTCAGGTGTTTGAAGTGTTAGGCACAGAGTCTTCACATAAAATTACAGTTGGAAGTTAGTTCTTAGACTGTATTTACATATGCAAGCCAGGATTTCTTTTATTTATTCACCTTTTACGTAATTGAATCTACCAAATGTGGTTTTGTACTTGATACAGTGTAAACATAGTTGGTGGTAAGGTGTTAGTGAATTCAGTTACCCCACAGAATACAGGTTGCTACCTAACCTGTTAAAATTTAGAAAGCGTTTTGTAGGCTGTATTAATGTAAGGGATACATCTAAGAAGAGTACTAATGAATAACAGAATTTGGTTAATAAATAACAGAATTTTGTTAATGAATAACTGACTGGGCTGATGGTTTCAGTCATGAATAATAACAGTATAGCATAATTTTATATACTCCTGTGTGGGGTTTTTTTTGTAGTTGGAAGATCCAGTGTCTTTGAAATATGATGTATTTTCCTGCATACTTCTTGATTAGTAGAAGTAGAACACCTATTGGTAGACAGTTAATATGCTATTGAACACCACCAGATGATGGAAAACTGGACCTAGCATGTTGCCTGATAGATAAAAACACAAATGAAATACACTGAATTTAACTCTAGTAGGTGCTTAGAGTTTGAAAATACTAAATATAATAATATCTTAATAAGTGAAGATCTTCTTTTGCTAATAACTATTATTTACTTTTTTATTTTTTTGGCATGGAGAAAATTTTAATGCATATTTATGCATGCTCTGTTTTGTTTGAAATCCTTTTTGTCTTAATTACAGTCCAGAAAAAGCTTGGCTTCATTTCCAACCTATGTTGAAGGTAAGATAGTTCTACAATTTCTAAATGTTTTTTCGTATCCAAAATTGCCAGTATTTATAATGTAGAAAAGTTTTATTTTTATTTGCTGAATGGAAAAGCTGCTAGGGTTAGGTATACTGATTTAGATTAAATTGTGTCCAAACTGGAACCTGAGCTAAGTCCTACTATGCTCTTTCAGAAGCTCAGAAACACAGAACTTTTATTTTTTTAGTGTTTCATTCAAAGTTTCTGTGTCAGTTCTGCTGTTTTTTTATCAGTATCACTTAAAACACTACTATTTTTTTAATTATATTTACACTACACATGTGAATGTGTGTGAACAAGGAAAATAGGCTAGGCAAGAAGACTAGTGCTCTCTCCAGCACTGAGTTCAATTGGCAGGCTCAAGCCAATCTCAGTTGGATTAATTAGCAGAATTGAATTAATTGGATTAATTGGCAGGCCTGCCAGAGGAAATCTGCACTGCTTCACAGCTACTTGTCCTCTAATTAAATAGTGCTTTCTGTCTTAGAGTTAAGGTTGCACTTGTGCCAGTGCTGAATTTATTCAGAACAATGTAAAAAAGCAAGTTACCTGCTACATGGACTGCTGTTACTTTTTGTATGAGTCTGTATCCTGTGTATACAGGAAGACTGCATGCTGTAAAACACAGTTATTTTGTTATAAGAGCATGACAGAAGCAGAAAATTTGAAGTTTCATTTGCTTTTTTTCCCTGACAACAGTTGTACCATATGCTTGTTGAAATGCCAGAAATACAGTTGATGTGATACATCATTTGGACTGTCTTGGAACTCCTTGGATTGCTTTACAGTGTGCTGTGTTTAAAAGATTATGTAATCATTCTCTTTAGACTACAAATTGATCATTGGTTTAGTCTTCAGTATATGAGCTGCATATTTTGGAGTCTGTGGCCAGAATGTCAACTAATGTAAATTTCATATATTGTTTTGAAACCAGCTGAGCTTTGGAATTTTGCAGCAATGAAGGGTCTCTCTTAGAACTGAAATTCATCACCTAGTGGTAGCCCTGTCTATCAAGGACTATCTTACATAATCCTCCATTCCTTAAAAAAAAATAATTGTAAACTAAAATTTACTTAGATCTTGGTCCACTGCAAAATTCCTTAAAAATACAAATTTTCCATTTTATGCACTAGCAGTTCAAGGAAAACTTGCTAGCACTTATGGTACACTTTCACTCAGATAAGAATTTCATTGTCAGTGGTAATAAATGGAGGGGGTCTTATAAAAAGCAGTGCTGTCTGTGTGTTCAGCTCTGATGAAAATAGAGCACATACTTTTTCTGGTTTTAATATGCTTTGCTCTGGGAGTCTTAACTACAGCTTTGTCAGTCGATATTTGTTTTGTGCGTTCTGACCAGAAATTGTACTATAAAGGGGGTTGCACCCTTTATAGTGAAGAGGTGGAAGTGGTGAAAAGGCCTTGACATGTAGAGTAACAAATAGCAACACTTCAAATGCTGTATGGTTTCAGGACTGGAAGAGTGTGCAAATATGTAGTACTTCCAGATGCATAAATTTCCCTAAGGAAAAAATTCCATGTCTTTGAGTCATGTACTTGAAAGTGACTTGTTAATTTTGAGAGTTTTCCAGATACATAGTATCTGAACAAATTCTGCACACTGGAGATGAGCATCTTAAAATTACTAGTCATAAATTTTCCTGTTTAAAGAAACCATAAAGGAGACAAGCTTGCTCATAAGATTTATACATCTACTTCTGTCTGTGTGGGTAGTTTCAGTGTAATATTTATCTCCAGCTCTGTCCTTTGTTGTTTTAATCTTAATAATGACTTGCATTTCTCTGGGACCAAAGTTACCCATGCTCATTCTGAGGGGTTGTTAATCTCTTCTGTTATAATTAGAACAAAATTGGTATTCTGAGTAACGTTAAACTTTAGGCCACATCACCTTATATCTCAAGATACCCCTTGAAATAATAAGACCTCCCTTCTGATATTGTAGGGGGGTTGCTTTATTATTAGAGGAAAAAAAAGGCAAACCTAAAAACAGTTTATTATTTTGGTCATAAAATGTGGACATTTTTACCTTTAGCATTCTTCAAGTTGATTTGCATTTTCACTTGTCTTGAACATCAATTGTTTTTCCTTACTTATAAGAAAACAAGAAGCTTCTTAGGTTAACCAGCCTCCCTTTTGGATCATGACAATTTTAACATGTAGCAAGGTGTTAAAATAGAACATTTTTACATACACAATTTTTAGATGGAATCGCCAAACACCAAAACACCTACAGATCATAAATGCTGCTTTCTAAGGATTTGCATTGTTAGGCACTGACCACTTCACCACCTTCTAACTTTCCCCAGAAGCTGATGGGCGTCAGATCATTAAGAATCTATGGCACTAAGAGAGTTGTTTTGCCATCAGGAGAGCCCGTGCTCTATGTATTTAACAACATTTTTATTTAACTCTGTCCTTTACCTCAATATTCTTGTTGAGACTAAGAGTGATTTTTAAAGGTCTATGGCATAAAAGTACTTTGCTTAACTGGGCAATCAGTCTTCTTGGTAAGGGGAGATGTGTTGTACCTGTAAAGCATTCCCAGGGAGGTTCCTCTGCCTGTTGTACTAACTGCAGCTAACACACAAGTGAGCAAGTGGCTGATGGCTGTTATTAAATTGCACCCTTCCTCTTTCTGTTTGTGACTGTTGGTCTTAGAATTGCAAGGCTGGTTTTGGTGGGTGAGGGGCGAGCTGCGTAACTGTGTCTGTCCCTTTATAACAGTGAACACTCACAGAGGTTATTTTGCTCCAGGGTGATCCCTGCTCACAAAAGAATGAGTTATTGTGAGAGACAAGCTGGATTAACAATTACAGCTTTTGCTGGAGAGATGTTGTATTGGGTTTGTGTGGCAAGGTTTTAGTAGCGGGAGGGGTAACAGGGGTGGCTTCTGTGAGAAGATACCAGAAGCTTCCCCCATGTCCAACAGAGCCAATGCCAGCTGGCTCCAAGACGGACTCGCCGCTGGCCAAGGCCAAGCCCATCAGCGACGGTGGTAGCACCTCTGAGATAACATATTTAAGAAGGGGAAAAAACAACTGCTGCATAACAGCAGCCAGAGGAGTGGAGTGAGAATATGTGAGTGAAACAACTCTGCAGACACCAAGGTCAGTGGAGAAGGAGGGGAGGAGGTGCTCCAGGTGCCAGAGCAGAGATTCCCCTGCAGCCCATGGTGAAGACCATGGTGAGGCAGGCTGTCCTCCCGCAGCCCATGGAGGTCCGTGGTAGAGCAGATACCCACCTGCAGCCCGTGGAGGACCCCATGCTGGAGCAGGTGGATGCCCGAAGGAGGCTGTGACCCCATGGGAAGCCTGCACTGGAGCAGGCTCCTGGCAGGACCTGTGGAACTGTGGAGAGAGGAGCCCACACTGGAGCAGGTTTTCTGGCAGGACTTGTGACCCCGCGGGGGACCCACGCTGGCGCAGTCTGTGCCTGGAGGACTGCACCCCATGCAAAGGGCACGTGGAAAGGACACATGCTGGAGCAGTGTGTGCCTGAAGGACTGCACCCCACAGAAGGGACCCACGCTGGAGCAGTTCGTGAAAAACTGCAGCCCGTGGGAAGGATCCACGTTGGAGAAGTTCGTGGAGGACTGTCTCCTGTGGGAGGGACCACACACTGGAGCAGGGGCAGAGTGATGAGTCCTCCCCCTGAGGAGGAAGGAGCGGCAGAGACAACATGTGGTGAACTGACCGCAACCCCCATTCCCTGTCCCCCTGCTTTGCTGGTGGGGGGAGGTAGAGAAAATCAGGAGTGAAGTTAAGCCCAGGAAGAAGGGAGGGGTGGGGGGAAAGTGTTTTTAAGATTTGGTTTTATTTCTTACTACCCTGCTCTGATTTGATTGGTAATAAATTAAACAAATTTACCCAAGTCAAGTCTGTTTTGCCCATGATGGTAATTAGTTGAGTGATCTCTCTCTGTCCTTATCTTGACCCACAAGCTTTTCATTATATTTTCTCCCCCCTGTCTAGTTGAGGCAGGGGAGTGATAGAGCAGCTTTGGTGGGCACCTGATGTCCAGCCAGGGTCAACCCATCACAGATGTTGAGAACATTTGCTTGGTGTTTTGTACCTTTGAATGTACTGTTTGCCATATCATCATGCTAAACTGAAGTATTTTAGAGGAGGATTTGCAGCCACCAGGTGTAGGCTCAAGTTGTCAGACTGTTGCTTTTTTTCTGTGGTTCAGCATTATTTTCTCCAGTGATTGTGTTCCTGTGTTACAGTTCCTGGACCTTGTGATCCTGAAGACTTAATCGATGGAATCATTTTTGCTGCCAATTACCTTGGCTCGACTCAACTCCTTTCTGATAAAACTCCCTCCAAGAATGTGAGAATGATGCAGGCTCAGGAAGCTGTCAGCAGGATCAAGGTGAGGAATAATTCCATCTGCTTCTCATACGGGTGCCTTAAGGTTGCAGATATGAACTTCTTATGTATGCAGAAGTTTTTTCATGTGGAGTTATCTGTGGTTTCAGAAAGGTTAAGTGCCTCTTCTTTCTTTCTGCAAAATAAATCACACGTTTAATGCAGCTTTTGGAATGTGACTGATAAGGAAAATTTACCAGATCATTTTAAGTCCCTATAGTAATACTTGTGCCGTGTACTCTAAGCCAGAATCTGAAGTGACCGGTGATCTAAGTTGTATATTACCTGGGTGTTGAGGGAAAACAGGTTTAGGGTATAACTAGTAAGTACTGCAGCTGCCTCTGGCTTGGCACTTGATAGAACTGGTACTGTGGTAATGTCTGCAGTTATTTTTGACCCTGCTGTGGATAATACCTTCTCCACCACATAACAGCTATAAGCTGATTTAAAAAGAAAAAGAAAAGCCTGTGACAATACAGAGATGTATGGAAAAAAATAATTTATCCTAGAATCTGGTATGTTTACTTTGTAAAACAGAATTGCCCACCGATTTCTGTACAGGCCATGACAAGTAATGGACATGCTGCTGTATTATAAGTTACAACGATGACATTGTCAACTGAAATTAAGGTGTGTAGATGAAGTATTGCACGGTTGTAGAGGATGCTGCAATATTCCTGCTACCCATACAAGACTGAGTGGAAGGCACACAGCTTCGTCTTCTGCTAATTCAGCTAACCAACACAATCTCATCTGAAATTTTTCCTTAGTTTAATATTTGTGTGTTCTTCTTTTGTATAGTTTATTTTGGCTTCCAACTCAGACTTTGTGTGCAATTGTATAAAAGAGAGAGAAAGAGAGACAGCATGTTATTAGCAAAGCCTATGGCACTGTCTCTTAAGGTCGGCTGATGCTTCCTACTATTATTATTCCTGCCAGTGTTTTGCGTGCCAGGTGTTCAGTTTGGTCTGTGTATGAAACTTTCACAGGGAAGCTCCAACTACAGTCATTGAGACACTTCCAGAAATTGTAATTTTGCTGATGTTCAAATACTTAAGTTCTTAAAACTGTTTCTGAAAATCACTAACACACTAGTATTTTAGAGGAGGCAGGGATGTAGCCTTCCTGTTACAGATAAGTCATCTTCTGCAATCTCTGTAAAGGTTTCCAGAAACTTAAACAACTACTGAACCTTTTGAAAAAGAATGATTTATCTGTGTTCAGTGGAGACGCTGAATTCAGTGACACTTTTAAAAAAGATTTTTCACTCAGCTTTCTCAACCGTGACAGGTCATGGTGGGTTCTTCCCAAAGCTACAGTGGGGACTTTCCCTTTACAGTCTACTTCTTTTGTGCTCTGGGTGCAAGTAAGGCTGTGCCTGTCTGTTCAGTAGTCCCTGTGTGTTCTTTCCTGATGCTTGACCACATGTTAGAAAAGTAGTCTGATTTGAATGCACAGGAAACTAAAGTAAGATACAGAAGGGAGAGAAATAAGGGCTTCAGTGAGGCTGGATCTAGGAGGGATGCATCAGTGGAGGTTGATAGGAAAGAGTAGCATCAGCTGTCATAGAAAACTGGTATCAGAAGTTGAACTTGAACCTGGCGCTGGGCAGGCAGTTTGTAACTAGGAGGTAAAGCTTGCGTGGGAGTACACAATAGACAAAGATTGAAGGGACATGCTACAGAAAACTGGAACAGAATTGATTCAGAGCAGGCCTGTGAGGTATAAGAGTGTAGAATCTTTCTCTGATACTAAATGTATTTTGTAGAAATTAATTAACAAAATACAGGTCTTTCTGAGGGTTCTGTTATGCCTCAGCCCTGCTGTGCCTCAAAACAGAAGAAATCTCTTTAGCTCATTTCACTCATAAAACCCATAATTTATATATCTGTATAAATCAGCAGGCATGCATAGTCTTGGCTGTAGTAAATTTGTCTCAGGATGGAGGCCCAAGTAGTTGCATTGTTGATCTGGTAAAACCCTAGCTGGTGTGTACATAATTTTCTGAAACTATAAGTGTATTTCAGAAAATTGTTGGCTTACTGCATGCACGCAATACCATTGTACGCTTTGACAGTTAACTGCTTTTCTGCTTCTAGGTGAATCTCAGGCAATGTAAGTATACCTCCCTGCACCTTAGGGTCTTTGGTTTATTAGTCTTGAGTTTGCCTGGTTTTGTTGCTGATTGCCATTAAAGCTAAATTTTTTAGTGAGAAATTCATTATGACAGAAATATTGCTCGCACAATGACTATGATACTTGTGCCTTACTCATGTTTGTTTAAAGACTGTGTTAGGTGTTGCACGTGAAACATTTCTCTGTAGTTAAAACAAAGGTTATGAATCAAGAATAAGCTTTTAAAAATTTGCAGACTTGAAGAGCATTAAAAAGGGGGGAAGAGTTTTGTTTAAGCCCCACTGTGTACACATACCTCCCATATGAATGTGTTCCTTTTTAATTTAATAGTCCCTATAATGCTTCCTTTTAGCAAAGCCTTCAGACCACATATTCATTAATTTAGAATATGAATAGATTTTGAAAACAATTCTGCATGCTGCTTCTTTAAACAAGTATCTCTTCAGTTAAAAGTACAAGAGTTGGGGGTTTTCGTGCTTGGGCTCTCATCTCTGTGAAGTCCAACCAAGTTAAAACAGATACATTGCTTTGAAGGCATTCATCAAACATAGTTCTCTCATATTGTCACTAGGAGGTACTTTTAGTAATAGAAAATGTGTTTCACCATTATCGGACTGTAGTCTCATTTCTTCAGATAACACAGAAAGAACTATCTTTTCACATTTTACTTGGAGTTGATCCATAATACTTGTAACAGTAAAAAAGTTGATGTTCATGATTACAATTCACAGCTGATCTGTGTTGTTACGTTTCACATGTGAACTAATAATTAACTTTCATTTTTATTTTTCATCAGCAGATTTGAGCTGTGTGGCAGGTTTGAACATTTTTAGATAACAACTGATTTAATTACTGAATGTAATTAAGATAGAAACCTTATGTGGAAATAGTTTAATATTCTGCACATTTTGTTTACTCAGTGTCATCTGAGTGTTCACAAAGTCGCAGTACATTTTTTGTAGAGGTTAAATAGGTTGAGTATAGTTAAGGCATCCCTGTAGCAAAAGTGGAAGCTTGCTGGTTTTTAACAATTTGTAATTTTGGAAATTTCTACTAGATACATAATTACACTTCATTTACCTTCAATGAAAAGCCTGGACTTTGCATATTTTTTAAAGATTAATATTTTGTTTAGATAAGGTAGTTTCTGTTTTTTCTAAGAATATAGAAAGAATCTTTTGATCTAAATTACCAAAATAACATGGTGATAAAGAGAATTTGTCTGATAGAGTGTCTTGCATAGAATTATCCTAATTTGTTTTTTTTCTCCTATGACATTTCTGTGCAGTGTTAAATCACTTATTAAAATTGGTTGTTCCATATCATTACCTTAATTTTATGAAATATTTGAAAGTCATTCATCAAAAAATTAAAATACTATTAAGACCAGATGCTTCCGTTGCAAGAGCATAATTTTCAATAAATTGAACGATAGTGCATTTTGATTAATCTTTGATCCTGCATCGTAAACCTCTAGCTCAAGGGAGTTTCCCCCCCCTTTTTCTTCTTTTTGTCCTGTGCTTTTCTTCTTTTGTGAGGTTGATCATTCTGTAAAGTTTTGGGAGTGGGGGAATTTGTCTGAAGGGGAGCTTGATTTTGGAAAGCAATTTAAATGCTCTATCTCATGAGTGCCTCCCCCTTGCCCAGTGTATAGCAGGCAGCTGTTATTCAAGATGAGTATATTATTTCTCAGTACCAATGTAAATTAATAGTAATGTAATGAAGAGTCTGCAGCATGAGGCAGTTTTAACTGCTTTTGCAATAGTTTGCAATCACCAGGCTATCAAATATTGCTTAGTTTGAAAAAGGTGACTAAAAGCTAGTGTGAGAATGTTTATATTTTTAAATAAGCAGTATGGTCTAAAGTTTCAGTAGATGCTTTTAGGTTTGCTTAGACGAAACCTGACAGATTTAAGTTGTGAGCATCAGTATAAAACATTTGATATGTCTTGTGATTCAAGCCTCCTGTTTGTTCTTCATAAAAGTAGTTAGCTAAGAGGCTGTTACTACTGGAAGTAAAAGGATATCTGCCAGCCTGGTGAGTATTGCATTTCTTCAGTAAGCAGGTCCGTAAGTTCAGTTCTTCAATTAATGATTGCAAGACTCTAAGAAGGGTGTTTATTTGTGTTGTTATTGTCACCACAGTAGTAGCACGTAAGGAGTCAGTTTGTTGCAATGGGTTGATATATGTCTAGATGTAATCAATTAAACTACTTGGTGACAAGAGACCTATTTTCAGGTGTTTGGGGAATTGAAGTACGTGCTCCACTGCCTTCTTGAAAAAATATAGTAGTATGGACATATCTTTGTGCAGGTGTCACAGGAAAACCTGTTGTCCAGATATGCAATGCTAACATTGGTATGGGTATATTTGCACAGAAGGAGGAGAAAATGGAGGTGAAAGTTATCGTATGTCATTTTGTATTTCCAGGAAAAAGTAACATCATTATTAGGGAGGTAATTTTTTGAACACTGTTTAAGCAGTCTCTCACCTTTCACACTGGTGTTGCTTCAAAAGAAGTAACATTATGGTTTACACTGCTGTAAATGAGGGGATGCTCTGTTTTTTTTCCTTAAAAAAAAAAAACAAGAAACCAACCCACAAAACCCCCCCACTTGTTTGTTGCAAGTAACATTTTGAATGGAAAAAAAAAAATCCTTTTGTGTTCTTCCTAACTCTTTTGTTGCGGTTTCTTTTCATTTTTTAAAGTAATTGTGCTAAACATGAATTTTAACATTTTTTTAAGCCAAAAAGAAAAGAAGGAAATTAATCTAAGCAGGGACTAATTTAGAATAGCTAGTAGTCTGTGAGCTCTGGCATTAGCATGCAGATTCCTGCTTGACTTGGAGTCTCTGTAAGTTCTTCTCTAACTATTCTCCTGTCTCTGTTTGTTCCATGCTAAGCAGATGGCCCAGAAATTAGCCAAAAGCAGGAAGAAGGTGCAGTACAAACTCCATCAGCTTGATGTTATGCCTGTTCTTTTGTTTTCTGGGAGGGTTTTTTGCCTTTCTTTTTATTTTGTGTTTTTATTTTCTGCATCCAGCAAGGTTTTTTTAGATTTATTTCTCAGCCACCATACAAGTTGACATTTCTCAGAAATTTGTTGCCGGATTGGCCATTTTTTGTTGCTTATCATTAGCCATTTCATGTTAGAAATAGAGTAAAGATTGGATTTATCAAATGGTTACAGGCAGTGCCCGAAATGCATACTAAAGAAACAGGACTGACGTGGCAAAGGTTTTAACTCTGTAAAATGATAGATTAAAGTTAAGTCTTTTTTATTTTTTTATTTTATCTTTCTATATGAGTGCTTTGTTTGAGTCATATATGTGTCAAATTGCTGGATGCAAAAAAGAAATAAGTTTATGTATATACACACAGTAATATGCTGAGACTGACTCATCTTAATAATAATTTTTGTTTATGGACTTTTAACGTGTTTTTTAACAAATCTAATTTTTAAAAAAATTACAAGCTTTCTGTTAACAAAATAGGACTTCCAAAGTGGGTTAGTGCTTGAATAGTATGTTGTCTGACTGTGAAGGTCGTCTTACCAGAACTGCATTGTGAATAGCTTAAACTGTACCCACCTGTGGTACAGGTTTTCCCATTGGTCTTGGCAGTCACTGTTAGGCCATATAGAAATTCTTCAGGCAAGAAATGCTGTTAGGCCTTTCTATGGCTTATGTGAAAAACCTTCTTTAAAGTGGGATTCATACTGTGGAGAAAATGGGAGAATCATTTTGATTTTCATGAGATCTTCATATAGTTCATGTTGCAGTCAGGTATAATTTTACTGAATCAGGAAAAATGTCAGGGAAGCTCTTATTGGGTTAACAATTTTTCAGAGAATATCCAATTCACTTTCACATATATGTATATAGTTTCCATATCTTTGTGTTTATCTTTACCTTCTGCAATCTAATACTCTATCTTGCATTGCTGTTCTGGTGACTGTGTCTTAGTGCGCCCCTGTTCGTAAGCTAACATTATTAGTAAATATGTTACTTAATTTGTTTGTTTGACTCTAAGCCATTTATTTGCAGGCTCCAGAAGGTGAATCTCAACCCATGACTGAAGTGGACCTCTTCATTTCTACACAGAGAATAAAAGTACTGAATGCAGACACACAGGTATAGACAAAGATGCCTTTGTCAGTATTGTGGTAGTAGGCTACTGAAATACACTTTCACCTACCTGCCAAAATTTGTCCTTCAAAAAGTGCTGGCTCTTTTATTTCCCTCCAGGATTTCCTTGTAAGAAATCCATGCTCAAGAACCATGTCATTCATGCAATTACTCTGGTGTGTCTGACCAGAAATGATTAGAATTTGCAGGTAAACTGATTGCAGTCAGCTCATTTCTTATGAGCCATGATGCGTCAAGTATTGATTGTGCCCAGAGTAGCCCAAAATGTTTGGTTGTGGTAATTTGAAGTTCATAGTCCTTTGCACATACATGCCCAGGATATTCAGGTTCTGATGCTGAGCTCTTTATGTGCTTTTCCACAGAAAACACAGTTTTAATTTGTAAAACTTGCTCTTTGCTTTACTTTTGGAAAGTGGAACTCTTGTTTTCTATTGGCATCTCCCCTCATGCGTGATAGGTATTACAGACTTTGTGTAACAAAGGTCTTATATTGCCATTTGTTTGTTTTCATAATACTAGGTGTGCAATAAGAACTTCATTGAAACAGCTGCTCATGTTGTTTTTTGTATTCCCCAGGAAACCATGATGGATCATCCCCTGCGGACCATTTCTTACATTGCAGATATAGGAAATATAGTTGTTTTGATGGCTCGTAGGCGAATGCCACGGTCTAACTCCCAGGATAATGTAGAAGCATCTCACCCTTCCCAAGATGGAAAGAGACAGTACAAAATGATTTGCCATGTCTTTGAGTCTGAGGATGTAAGGAATTATTCTGTCTTGTAATTTTCTAGGGGTGGAAATGTAAACACATTTTGGTAGGCTTGAAGTCCATTGCAAGTGGTCCTGTTTGTTCTTTAACTGCAATCAAATATTTCATCTAAGCAGAGGAACTTGCATTCTGTTTGCATGTTTGGACCTGACATTTTACTCACAAAACTGGTGTTAATAGAAATTCTTCCCATTTGTAAGCTCCTTCAATGCCTTCCAGTAAGAATGAGAAGAGGGTCCAGTTGCCATGGCTTACGAATACCAGCTCAAATTCTGCATGTGAATGTGAAAGTCTATCAGAGATGCTTATTTTCCTAGGGAAATTCTAATCCCAAGTCTTGCATCAAGGGTCAATCACTGATACATACTAGAAAGGTGATTGGGCTTGGGGCGGGGGGGGGGGGGCAGAGAGGGGGGAGG